ATGACATGTCTCTCTTGTGATTGGTTCATATCAGTTGATGTGCAAAATCGTGCAATTTAGAGCTCAAAATCGTGCAATTTATGCTGAAATCACTGCTGCAGGGAACCAATCAGATTGCAGGATTTGCTTGTGATTTCAAAATGGATGTAATAAACATGATAACATTGTGTTTGCTGTCATTAATTGGCCAGGATGGTGACCGAAGTCCTCCAGATGTAACTCGCCGTTCAGGAAGAACTTACAACAGATGTGAAAATTCCGATTATCTGTATTTTTGAATTATTTGCATTCAAAATTGTTATTTAGATATATATTGATGTGGTGAGGTGATAATCAGCAAATTGGAATGCAAACTAGTCAGAGTGACTTTATCAACTGTACTTTTAAATACACAGCTTTGAGAGAAAGGACTTCTTTATATTGGGGCGGAGGGGGGGTTATAAACTAGGTATAGAACATGAGGGGAGGGGGCCCACCAGATATCAACAGCAATATAGAGAGGGGCTAGTTTTTCTTGTATGGGCTCTTGCTGGAATTCCTCTTATATTACTTTTTTTAATTACTTATATTTTATTAATGAAGATTATATATTCACATATTATTTTGAGAAAAAATATATGGTTTTACTAAAATCAAAGTAAATTTTACACTAAGTATGCAACACTTTGCACTATACTAAATAGTCCTAATTATAGAGCGAGGCTCTGACAAGTCAGCTATAACTTTGTATCACTGGCCAAGTGCAATCACTCTAAACCATAGAAGACAATATTTGCATAATTTAGCACTAATTTAAGTTGCGACCTGGGCAGTCCACAAGTTTATTAGTCTCTGACTGTAATGTGTTTAACCTCGTTAAATAAAGTCATTATTATTATTATTATCATTATTATAYTTTTATTTTTATTTCATAATAGTATGGCTGTAACGTAACCTGCCACAGTCTTTTCTGTTCCATAAGGGTTTTATTCCTTAGATACTTGTGTGTAATAAATTTCCTCTTTGTTATTTACTTACTTATATATAGTGCATGCATTATAGTACTTATTATAAGGAGTTGTTGTTAAATAAATTAAAGAAAATATAATATATCAAATTATAGCAACCTTCGGATTTATGGATATTTTTTGATCCATCCACATTATTTATGAAGTGGCAATGTCCAAGATAACACAGTTCTAAACTTTGTGTATAATATATACAATATAAACGATATTTAACAACCAGCCACAACCGATCCCATTGTGTAATGCAGTTGTTTTCCTCAATAATGTCTCGGTACAGGTCTATATTTCAAAAATATAGACCTGTGGAGGGGACATTCATATCAAATCAATATGAAATCCATTGTTCCTAAATTACGGATTGGGGCTGGTTATTAAATCCTATCAAACACACGGGCAAGGCATTTTTWAAAATAAAGGCCTCAGTCTCGGCCTTTATTCTTAAGAATGCCCTTGCCCTAGTGTTTGATCCTTTACATAATATTACTAATTTTAATAAAAATGTTCTAAACATTCAAATAGGATGTTTGCATGATGGCGTCATGACGTCAGACTCCCTTGCACACTTTCTTTTGTTCAATTAATGAGCACCAATAACCAATTCATTATTATTGTCTTACTATTCTCATGACGGAATACAAATTTAAAAAAGAAAGAAAATTCGCAAAGCATTAGGTAGTGGGAGTCAAATGATGCCATCATGCAAATGTCTTATTTTGTTTGATGAATCAGAACAACTTTCTGAAATTGTTTTAGCCGAGACTTCAAAAGATTTTGTAATCATAGTAAGTTGTTTTTGTTTCGTTTCCACTGAATATGTAATTGTCATTATGGCGTACGTATAAAAGAATACAAGTTAGGGATTTATACCTTACAAAAACAACTTACTATAATCAAAACAACTATATCTCTTAATTGCTTTAATGTTTGTTTTTCTAATCTTTGTAGTTATAGTATTTGTTGAAGGCTATATATTTTAAACAATAAATATGCTTTGTACTATAGTAATATGCATTCCATTATTTCTTAATGGTTTGGCAATTGAAATATCGATGTTTATACTATATTCCAATTGACAAATAACATATTGAGATATCTAGATGTCTTTGTAGACTTTTAACTCTTCTTTTCAGTCTTATTACATATACTTCAGACTGATTACACTTCCATTAAAACTAGATTTCACCATATTTGAAAGATGCCTCAATGGTGGCTGGAGATTCAAAACTGCTTTAGGAACTATGCATGCATTCCATTAACATCAAAATATATATCTATATCAAAAAAGGTTGTCACAGCCAAAGGTGATAGGCAATAGGTGAAAAGCAATAGGAGACAAGTCCTTTCCAAGATCCAGAAATAGCTGGAATGACTCTCATTATTGTCAAGAATATGGACCTTAGCATTGAAACTGATTCAATATTGTTTTTATTCAACGAGACCATTTCCATGTCAGAATGACCTATCGCCTATCACCTTTGGTGGTGACAATGTTTTCTTGAAATAGGTGTATATCATATTTAAATGATTCTCCCACACTAATTGTGTTCACTCTTGGGACCATCTGCCTGATCAACCTCTACATCACCTCCATAAAATGCACTAGGTGGTGCTATATGACTTCCTCTTGATAATATACCCTGAAAAAAGACAATTTGACATGATAAGTGAATTGAAATAACCTAACATGAAAGAAAAAATGCTTGCAGGATCAAAAGTTAAATTATTAAGGAAAGGATTCTATAGTGTCCGTCATGTTCAGAGTGAGATGTAAGACACTGGACATCAAAGGAACAGAACTCTATATGATGATCAGAGCTGCATTATTAAAGATTACAAGATTGTACGAGTAGCTGACTCTGCACTTTATCAATGAATGATTAATGCAGGGTAATCAATTCATAAATCCTTCTGGTTTACAATATAACCAACAACCAAATGTAAATTTATTACATTTGGGCCTCTGATGGGCTGACATGGACAGAGTGCGAGGGTTTCTATAAATATATATATATTTCTATATTTTGTGTTTGGAAATTCATTGTAAAGCGTTATAGAGTGTAATATATAACTCTATAGAAATTCATTAAATTATTATTATTATTATTATTATTATTATTATTATTATTAATGCCCTCACCACAAATACATAATGTTGATCAATGTACATGTATTGGAATAAGCACCCACCATTTTATAATCATTGTTAGAAGACTCACTGAGAAGTGGCACCAAAAGACACAATGACATTCTGTGCACAGTGGTGTACGGCATGAAAGAGCTCTAACAGTGTACTGGTACTCCATAAATCACATAACGTACAGTGCACCAAATAATTGTGTACTATGGCACCTATTATAAGCACAGTGCATGTGGATGAGGCTTCAATATATTATACTGCACTAAAAACCCTAATTTCAAATTATACTATAWTAAATAGCTAGGCATACATGTACATGGATATTAAAAGAAAATTTAAGTGACTATTTGTAAATATTCAAAAAGGGAGAATAGGAAATGTGCGTCAAAGCTCATAAAGCACTCTTTGAAACCAAGTACTTCAAAAAGAAACAGGAAAAATTGGAGGTATGAGGGAAAAAAATCCTCTTATTTGCCACTGTTCAAATACTTACATTTCTATAAAATAATGTTGAAGGAAAAATTGTCAGGTGAATTTTTAGAGGAGCCAGAAGTGTGATTAGGTTTCTAAGAGAGCTTTGTGCTAGAGATTCATGCTCCTGCACATTCGCTATTACCCATACCCCAATTTAAGATTAGAGGACTACAGACTAGGAAACTTGCACTGAATAGACTAGGTCAAACCTTTGTGTCTAATCTTAAATTATTATAATTATTTTCTTATACCAACTGCTACTGTAAGTAGTCAAAATAGTGCAAATAGGCCATCCTTATTTATGTGATAAAAGCTTTGAAATCAGGAAGAGATCCTGTAGGACTGATAGGCACTTTAAATTGGTGTTTAATGAGTAGATTTATTGTTGATATATATAAACTACAGAGAGACAGAATTCTGCCCCACTTACATACCCTTCTCTGTTGTTGTCTTCTCCACTGTGTATGTTGTTCGTGTTCACTTGGATCAACAACTGGATAGATTATTTGAAGCTGTGGTCGAGCCAAGTTTTGTTGATTGATAATCTGTCTCATTTGCTCTTGATCTTTCTTGTGCTCTACTTTGAACACTTCAATCTTTGGAAGATCAAAACAATAACAATTAAGTATACATGTATATATAAAACTAAATAATATAGCTTTTAAATTTCTATGAATCAGCAGTTTTAGAATCAGATTGATATATTTGGCCACAGTAATTTGGTTACAGTGGACTGAAAATAAACACCTACCTCTTTCACTAATGTTGCAATGATCTCCTGTGCACTTTTCAATTCCTCTTGAATACTTTCTTTTTCACTCTGGGCTTTTTCTCTATCTCTTCTTTCAAATGAGAAATCATCTTTGTATGCTTGCATTTGAGCTTTAATAAGTTCATTCTCTTCATTATTTCTTTTTGTTCCTGTACTGACATCTTCTCCAGATAATGCCTGTGCAAGTCTCATGTTTTCAGCTTCAAGTGTCAATACATGTATATTAGATTCCTCTAGTTTGTGATTGAGAGAACTGATTTCCTCTTGAAGCTTTCTAAAGTCTGTTTTATATTTCTCTCTTAATTGTTCATATTCTTCTTTCCATTTTCTATTTACTGCCATTGCCTGAGAATGGGTAATCAAATTAAAATCAAGTTATTCTGGGTGTAAAGATACTTAAAACAAACTTACATTGTTAGAAGCTAGACTACTATTCTTAGTATGATATTGGACTAGCTGCCTTATATGTGAAGCTTAGATCTGAATTTCTTCTAGGCCAATAAATAATTATTGCCCAAATAAGACCACAGATGTTGCCAACCAATTATGGTGAAATGATATTTTTTAGTAAGGTTACAACACGAGGTAGCTCAGCTAAATCCAAATAAAGTTCTATAAATGAACATCAAAATCACCCCACTCTTGCTGACCAATAAAATTCCCACAGCTAAATTAGTCCACTTCCTGTATTGCTAAATAGGTTATGCATAATAATATCACTTTATATCAAAGAAACATAGGTTATTTGAATTTACACCAGCAATGCAAAATATTCCCCTTGTTGTGAAAGCAAAAAATTTTCTGCTCTCTTTTCCTTTCATTATTAACCCTTGGTAAGCTTATATTCCTAAAGTAAGCTTCCTTTTACATCGCTATTAAGCTAAGAAAACAGACGAAAAGTTAGTATTTTAATAGCTTACCTCGTTAAGACGTTTTCATAATTTCGAATCTTTTATTGCTGTTCTATATGCCTCATTACTTTCCTAGAAGAAAGACAGCGCTTTCTTTATAACACCTACTGAAGAAGGCCACAACTGGACTTTCTTCACATTCTTCTAAATTTTCTATGATTTTTTTCTTTAATTTATTTGGCATCTTGACTGTCCGCTTCACTTTTTCTGCAATTTTTAAGCTGTCTACCTAGGCTAGCCCGCAAAGGTTATTGTAAACAGCCTGCATCTCCAAACAAGTTAAAGTCGATATTCTCGTTTGCAATAGACGTCATAGCCGCCATGTTGGAAGAATTTGACAAACGATTTTTCAATTAATTCTTTTGTTATGTCTTCCTACATGGCGGACATCCCTTTTGTTATTGTGCTCTCTTGGGATTGATTGCAAACCAAGAATATGCAAAATATTTGTAAGTTGAAATGATGCTAAATWTAAAATCTTGTCTTGTCTTGTATCCAAGGTAACTGTATGGATTCAACCTACGACGTGTACACTTAGAATTAAACTACATTCTATTAAAAAGACTTACCATACTGATATTTGTACTCTCTTCCGTTCTTGTTCTTTCTCCTTCTTGTCTTCTCTTTCTTTCAGTGGGTTCAATTTCCTTAGAAAGCTTTTTAACACGTTCTTGCTCCTCTTGAAGTCTGACGAGAATGGCTTGTTTGTCTTCAAGAACTGCGAGGTATAATCGTTGAATTTCATCGCATTTTGAACATCGAGCCTTTACGTTGCTTGAAGCCATCATAAAATTCAATTCCTAAAACGATAATGTCTTATTATTGGTAAAATATAACTATTGTTTTTAGAYTCTTGTTGTCAAGCTTGTGAAGCAAAATGGTTAAATGCTCTGTTCCATGCCTTATATATGCTTGGTATGCTTGCGTTATTGACTGAATGACGTCATAGACGTACGTAAACAAGATTTCTGGTATTTTCCAACACGCATGCAGGCATTAATTGCTCAATAAATGTGAAACCAGTTTAGAAATTATTTATATCTCAACTAGAAATTCAAGTTAATGAGGTAAAAATTCTTAACTGGTTTCACAAAAGCGAGAAATATTTGCTTGTACATATATTTATGCATATTATCGGTCAAACAAACGCTAATTTAATCGATGGCCTCAACTTCATAATGACTTCCAGGGCTTATACTTCCATTCCTCATAGCAAATATATAGCGATGAAAAAGGATCAACGTAACAGTCATAGGACTTCATGTATCCTGTAAGACAAACATTCACTTCCTCACCTACCAAAGACTTCAATACACGCGAAAGGATCGGCTACAGTACTACCTGTGTTACGCATGCTAGCAAGCCCTTTACCAATTTCTTTCCCGATCAAAGTCCGAAATTAACGCGTGATTTTGCTACTTTCATGTTTATTAAAAATTAACCACCATAATTTTACTGCCCATCTACAGTGAAATAAMTAATGTTAAGTCCTTGGGATGACTTACCCTCGTTTTCAACTTTGAATTAGCGAGGATTCTTGAAYATACATGTTGATACGACGGTCACGTACAGTAGTAAAAATAACTGATTACGTGACATCAAAGCAAAGTGCGAATCTGCGAGTTTTTAATAGAACACTACATCATCCACAGGTAGCCCAAGCTTGGTTTCTGTGGTGTCATGTTATAAGGAAATGTATGGGGATTCTTCAAAAATTTCAATAAAATCATTAAAATAGAGCCTCGAAATTTTCCCTGATCATTAAGAAATAGCACTTCTTTCGCTCTGTGTGGTTATTTCTTGAATTTAGCCCGTTTTAAGGATTTTCCCCCTACCAGTAAGAAAGTATTTCAAAAGTCAAAGTGATTTAGGACCATAAAGTGAGTTTGTCTTTTTGATCAATTACCTCTGTCATCAGCACATTTACCCTGCGAGCAGAGGAAAAAGGAGAATCTGCTCGYAGGGTACATCACATTTGGCTTTTGTGGAATTGATTTTTGCTCGTTTGCCATACTCCTTTTTGCCCGGCTCGAGAAATTTGTTTCTCCACAAAACACTCTCGCTGCATGGGCAAAATGTCGGATGATATCACAAAATTATTTTAAAGAACTTTAGGATTTTGATGACATAATCAGAAAGTACATGTAAAAATATGATATAGTGTAGAAAGACCGATAGAGCGAAAAACGGCTGAGATTTGGGTAGTTTAATGCGAAAATATCCCCATACATTTTCTCTTATTTCTCATATTATAGTAATTCATTATATCTATATATAGTTCGAGGACCAATAGTTTATCAGTTTATATCTGTAAAGTGTTTTACCCTCTTTAAATAAAGTTATTAAACTCATTAATAATTCATGAGGAAAACACAACAGAAATCACGACCATGAAGAGTTTTGTAAATCAGATACAGAATCCTGTTCATTTGCATAAACTTTAACTTGGATTTTCTTGGCCAGATTCACTTTTATTTTGAAAATTTTAGCGAAACATAAAGAACTAACCTACACGTTTGATAAGTAATCTACAGTATTCGTGTCCGTGTTGTATCCAAAATTGCTTGACACGAAGTTTAATTATCACTTAATCATATCCTTTTTGTAATCATACACAAGAAAAAGACACAACAAAGAGTGCA